CCCCCCCCCCCCCCCGCCCAAGGCTCTAGGGTGGTTTAAAGTGGCAATAAAATGTATGATATGGGAAGTTAGTTAATGAATTTCATTAGGGCACTTATTCTCCCCAGACCAGTAGCTACTATCAGTGACAATGGAACTTCATGTCTGAGAGCTGACTCTTGGTTTCTCAGTCAGTTGCAGAGCAACACTGTTAAGCAGTTTTGACTTCTCATCTTCCCAACTGTTTTTTTAGAGAAAAGTCTGATTGGATTTGTTTGTTTGCCCCAAGGGCAACAGTCTTGTGATAGCTATATCAGACCTTTAGCTCTGCTTCTGACTGCCACCTAGTCCACATCTGAGACTCTAAACCAGTGTTTCTCAACCTTGACAGCTTGAAGATGTGTGGACTTCAACTCCCAGAATTCCCCAGCCAGCTTGCTCTAGAGAAACACAGCTCTAAACTTTGGAAAAAAGATTTTCCCTGAATTTGCCAAGCCCCTGAAGGCAGCAAGACCTCTTTTTGAGCCCACATCGGAAATGAATAGATGCACAGAGTTCCCGGAGGGCTCAGGAGACACAGGTCAAGGGACTTGGGAGCTGCATTCCTCTCCATATTGTCCAGCTTGCCCTTTCACTTCACTCCCATGCTTGGCTTGCAGTCATGCATTTCTGCATTAACGCAGCCTGGGATGCTGTGCTCAAAATATTGTGAAAAAGTGGGAGGCTTTCTTTAGCTTTTGACTTCACAGCCAACTGCTGATTGATTACCAGGATCCATTTGAGTTAACATAGAACCTAGGAAATCTTTCGGTTTTTTTTTTTCTATATTTAAGATATCTGTAACTCCCCCAGATAGCATCTGCAGAATTTTACAATTAATTAATTTTTTAAAATTATGATTTAAAACCTAATCAAAATAGTTATCGCTGTACACATGGTGCTACCTTATGGATTTTTAAAATTCCTTCTCCATCCTTTGCTTCACAGTCTTGCATTCAATGGCATCACTACAGAAGGGGGTAAAAGCCTCGCAGAAGCAATGAAACACAACAGTTCTGTAAATATATTTTGGTAAGGAACTTGGAGGGGAGGGGATAAACTTTATTGAATCTTGAATTGCCTCTTCTTGCAAAAGGAGGGGGGGAATCTGCTTTGTAGCATCCTAGCCCTCTGAGGAAGGAAGATAAAGTCACAGCATTGGCAAATGTCCTTCTGGCATGCTTGATTCCAGAGAGAACTGGAAAAGCTGTGGCCTCACTAAGCCAGAATGATTTCTTTGTTAACTTGGAGCAACCTGTGTAGTTTCGGCAGTTTGAGAAGGGAATGGCATGAAGAGAGTAAACTGATTGTGTGTTAACCTACCCCAGTAATGTGTTAACCTGAACATCTGGAGAACTTCAAGCTAGAAGAGAACAAGGCCATGCCCATAGCTTCATCCTCATCTCTCCCCACCTCCACAGATTCAAGTAGGTGACCTGAAACTGCACCCCAATTGCTTGATGCAAGTCTAGCTGTCAGTGTAATTCAAAATCCTATTTTATTTCGGTCCCAAATCACATAGAAGGCTGTAATTATGCTCAGCTTTGGATTAATCAATATCTAAGCTTTGCTGACATCTGCTTACTGGTTGTGATCAGGGGGAAAAAAAGGAAGTCACAACTCAGGATGATAACAGTGGTAATGACTGTATCCCCAAAGCATATGTTTTGAGCCGCTACTGAAAAGACTGAGTAATCCTTGGAGGCATTCATGTGGAAAGAGTAAACTCTCCAATTTATTTTCACTGTCAACAAAGAAGCAGAAGAAAGAGGAACTGTTGGCCAATATATCCTGAGGGAGATGAGATCACAACAGTGCCCCGGATCTCAGGAGACTAGGAGTGTTGGCCAGCCAGTACAGATGGTGGATGAGGCAAAACCCCCAGCTTGCCTCCCCCAGACCAAAGTTCTGGGAGTCCCAAGGGAACTTTGGACTGGCCACCTCCAGAGATGCTGTAAGATTCCCCCTAGCCTGGAAGAGCCATGGAGACTTCTGTCTGGACACTTAATGTAGGATTTTGCCCAGCCTATGCCAGAAGTGTCCTCCTATAGAGGCTCCTTTGGTGTACACCTGAGGGCTTTCCCACAGTCCATATCAGAGCTGCCCAGCTTGGGAGATTCCCTGGCTGGCACTGTAGAAGGTTCTTCTCAAGCTTCTCTCAGAGCACTTGCCCAACAAAGCTTTTCTCAGCCTTCTGTGCCAGCATGTGTTCTGTGGCAGAAGGCTGAGAGGATGTCCAAAACAGCCCAAAGCAAGGCTGCTTTGTGAAGCAGCTTCAAAGGGGTGCTTTGTTTGAAGCTTTGTGGAAGCAAAGCACTCCTTCCAGACTTTGCATAGCCCTATTCATTACAGTTAATGAGAATGCAAATAACCTCTTTCCAAACACTGGTACCAATCATAAACTAATCTGTTATTTTAATTTAAGCATTTTTGCCCATGCTCTTCAAGTGAGCAAATGATGTGTAGGGCTTTAGAGGCTTTCTTGATGATCACCCCCAAATGGCAACTGCAAACAGACAGCACTGGCATTACTTTGGACAACAGAGGGCCCCTGGGCTGGCTGTCTTTTCTTCCTACTCTTTTTAAAAATATAGCAAAGAGGTGGCCAACCAGGCATGCAAAGGATAATGAATGCCCATTTAATTATTTTTACTTCAGAAGTATTTTATTTTTGTCAACAATAAAATAGTGATTTCCTCCAAAGAATTCCCAGCAACAAAAGTGCTTTCCATTTTATTTGTGTCATCATGGTTGTGCTATAATTAAGTAGGTGTGATATGGGGAACTGCAGAAGTTCAATATATTTCTTTTATTTGTCTTTTTTTAATTGGGACTGACAAAACTTCTTCATGAGCATAGTAGGAATGTAGAAGAAATGGTTAAGGAGATGATGTTGGGAAATATGTGTATCTTAACAACTGAGATAATCATGAGCCTCTTTAAGCCTGCTTAGTTCACAATCTAAAATTACACGGCTGCACCATTAAAAGAAAGACCATCTTTGCAAACCATCTTGTAATCTAAAAGACAAATCACAAAAGGAAAAGGGGATGAAGAAGAAAATAAAGACACACAGGCCATAATTTTTATAGTTTCATAGATCCTAGTCATGTATTAATTATTTTTATGATTGTTGTCTCATAAGAATGAGAGCAGAGCTATTTGTGCAACCCTTGTCTGTACGCAACTGGGATGGAAAGTTTGAAACAGAAAGCCCCTCTTTTTGTATAGGCTTCCTGTGTGATTCCAGAAAGCCATGGAATAGGAGCTTCTCATTTCAGAGCTTCTGTCCTAGCACATGAATGCAGGGACTCTAAGTTGGAATTGCATGACGGTGTGATCGGTTGGAAGGCATAAACTAAGGTTTCCTGGTTTGAAGAGAGAAGAACCTTGCCCATCTGTACTGTGAGTGCTGGAAAAGTTGAGTTCCAGGGTTTTGTGAACTTCCTTCACAAACCCCTGGAATCAAGGAGAGAAAAAATATATAATTGTGTCAACAACAACAACAACAACAAAAACAGAAGGAAGAAACTGGCAGCTGAAAAAGAAATGTCTTACTCAGGCTTGTCCAAACAAGCAATTATGCAAGAAGTAAAAGTTGCTGGCAGCTTTAAAAAGGAGAATAAAAAAGAGGCTTCTTTCTTCAAAAAAAAGAAAATCTTTTTCTAGCAGCAAGGAATTACGGGCAGAAAGAAGCACCTTCTCCAAAAAGAGCCATCAAAGCAGTTAGTATAAAATACCTTAGAGCAATTGGTACTATACTTTTTATTATGCCAACTGACCTAAGTTGAACACCCAATCCTAAAGAGTACAATTTCCAACCGCTAGATTTTTTTTCTATTTCACTCCTATCAACCCCAAGCCAGTATGGCCCACAGCAAAGGAGGAGCTGAGGGAGTTATGGTCCACAACATTTCAAAGGTTTTCTTGCCTACTTCTGTATAAATCAAAGACCCATTAAGTTTTGTTGATGGGTTGCAGAAGCAGTCTCCTGTACCATCTTCCACTATACTGTACAGTGCTCTGCGATGCTGTAAATATTGTAAGACTGCCAGTTGGTGTTAGATTGTAGTGTGGTGATAGGACTGAAATTCTCAAAGTCAGAGTTGTCTGAGACTGCTGGCAGTTGTAGTCTGGTCTCTCTGGAGAGCATGAGGTTGGCTCATTCATTCTGCCTCTGACATTCTTCCTTCTCACTTTGGGAGCAGAAATATGAAACACTTAGTCTGATATGTCAGAAAGCCTTAATAAATAAATAAAAACAAGACCATTCCACTCTTGTATTTCATTGGAGTTCTAACAGTTCATGGCTGATTGTGACCAGGTACAATAAACAACTTATCTCTAGAACAGCTAGTCCTGGCACTAACAAAAAGGGCAGATGGCATTTAAAGATATCCCAAGTGGTGCCCAGGATCTCGTGCAAAACTCGGGAACAATGGCTATAGCGCTATTGGCTTGAACAACATCAACAAGAAATGAACGGAACTGACCCAGAATATATTTTTTCCAGGCTTCAATTTTCCTTGGTGCAGTTGCAATCGTTAGGTAGGTAGGTAGGTAGATACTGTTCCCGACGCATCTGAATAATATGAGTCAACAATAACATACTGAAAGTCCATTAGAAACGAAAGCAAGAACAGAATCCTGAGGAGAGGTAGAATGGAGGGGCCTGTTGTAGGTCAGCATGGTTGACTGGCTAGAACTTCCAAGGGAGCATTCTTTTTCGAGGTGAAACTATAGTGTGATCTTTTGTTGCTGGTCTCACATGTTCTCAGTATTCACAACCCATGAATGATTGAAGATGGCCTCTGCACTTAGAGGCTTTCTTTCTTCTGGTCTGTGAACAGAAATCGGATCATGGCTTAGGGCAGCTTACAGGCCCCTGAGTAATAACTGAGATCTGTGATGCTTTTGTCTGGAAATACCATATCAGCTCACTGGAATATATCCATAGGGTAGGGGGGGAAAGCTGACTAGACTCGCTGATGTTTACTGGAAGTTCTTTGACCCTTTCATTCCCATCTCCACCCCAGGCATTTCCCGAAACCTCTTTGGGTGATTTACAAAATTGTGTATAATAACAACAGTGATAAAAACAAAAAATCTTCAGGGCATGTAGAAATGACTTTGAGTAAGGAGGGAGTGGGTTGGTTCTCTGGTCTGAGTGACCTCTTACTTTCTCAAGCAAATGGTGAACAAAATGAAACTCTGTCATCTACTTATGCCCCCAAAGGCTATAATGTAAAGCAGTTATGCACAATAGAAATTGCACAGTGCTTGGCAAGCTTGGCAGGCATACAGATTGGACTGAAAAGAGGGGGGGTTTTTTTGTTTTGTTTTGTTTTAATCCATTCTGGCTTGCCAGGATTTTTGACAACACTGCATCAGAGTTAGCAACTAAGACAAGAATGACCAATGTTTTGAACCCCCAACTGTCATTCATTCACATGACTGAAACCCTTTTGTTTCTTCAACTAGGCTAACAAAAAATGAGTTGGATGATGAAGCAGCTGAGAGTTTTGCCGAAATGGTAAAGGTTAACAAGAGATTGGGCTATCTGTGGTGAGTTATGTTGGGTTATGAAGGTCATGGCTGGAGGCAGTAAACCATATTTTAGGCACTATTAAAAATTCTGTAGGAAGATCCATAGCTGGGTATTTGGATTGTTTTGACTGAGGTATACATTTAATGTTATATATTTGTGTGTTTATTTACTTATTTGCAGTCTACACTGTCCTAGTGGATCTCAGAGCAGATTACAAATGAGAAAAATCAAGAAAAACCAACAAACAGCAGAAAAACAACAACAAACAGCAATGTCCTCACTTCAGCAGAAACAAAATATGAAAGACTATCTGATAGTCTTTAAGATACACATTTGTTAAGACAGGTTTTGAATCCCTTCATCCTAAGCAACCTTTTTTGATGCCTGCTCCATTTGAAATTCCAAAAGCACGTGGTGGAAGTTGTCACAAAATGACCCCTTCAGAGGAACTTGCATATTCACAAAATGCATGTGGGCAATCACCAAACATTGATTTACCAGCAAAATGGGTGATCATGTTCTCCATCCTCATCTCTAGTGATAGGCCTTGACTGCTGGGAGGGAGTGACAAAAATGATTACAAAGCAAATTCCACCCCTTACATACTTGCATGCAGTGTTGCAACGTGGGTACAGACGGGTGGAGCTTGCATTATGACACACGTTTCATCATTTTGGCATTATCATGGTTACAAGGGGGTGCTGGGGCTTCTAGGCTCCCGACCACCCCAGCTTATTTGGTCTTTCTTCAGGGTAGATGGGCGCACTGCCAGCTACCATGATTTTTATTTCCTAGGAGTGCCTTTTGTGAGGTGGAGAAGCATTCTTGTAAATGGAGATGGCACTCTAGGCTGCCCTTTGCTTTGAAGTGTGACAGCTTCCTATTTATCCATCTGTCTCTATTTAAATTAAAATCAGGTGGAGCAGAGAGCCTGGCAGGCACCAGGTTGCCTATCCCTGTACTCATAAGATGCTGAGTTTAGATAATCAGCTGAAATTGTGGCTAGACGTGTTGATATCACATCTTGAAAGCCAGAGATGAATTTGTTTTACCGCTTTACATATTATTACATTACCAAAGGAGTAATTTTTGGAATTAGCATTCTTGTGTCTGTTGTTAGCTGGTAGTTTCGAAGCCTGATGCCAGAAAGGAGCAACCTGTAGACTTCAGATGTTGTAGACCTTGAGTCTCTCTCCCATCAATTCTTTCCTGTCCAAGTTTCTCTCTGTCCCATTTTATACTGCTGGGTTTCTTTCTCACACTTCCCTCTTTCTCAGGATTGAGTAATCTTTTCACAAAGCCCCCCTTTAACAGCTGGCTCATTCTGTCCCTACCCCCAAGGCCAGTTGCATTCCTTTACACATCTAACTCTAAAATAGATTATTTGAAAAGAAGAAGGGATCAGGAGAGAAGAGGAAACATTCCCCAAGCTTGGCACCAGTTCTTCAAGTTTCATACCAGCTCTTAAATAATCACTAGTTCAAGGAGAGGAAGAGACTGACCTAGTTGATCCCTCAGTAGACTGAGGATGTCGTATCGCTTCCTGTCTCTTCTGTTTCCTGCTGCCAGATAAAATGGCTGTTGCTCCTGTTCTGCAACCTGATACACCTTTGGGCTCTGGGCTAGGTGGAATGTCTTCCAATGAGGATATGCATTGCTGACCCCAAGCCATTAGGTGTTTCCACAAATCAGACTGGCCACCAGAGTTCATAAATTTCAGTAACTCAGCTGTTATTTCTTCTTCCTATCTGTCCCTTTGCTTTGCTTGTTTTTACATTTCTAGCCTGCTTTTTAATTCAACTGCAATCCTCAAGGCTGTTTACAAAAGCAAGGAGCAGAACAAAACACAAACACCATGTAGGCAAGTTCCAGTGAAAACAGACATTAAAAAGATTTGTGCAAGGCCACAAGCAAATAAAAAAGAAAAGGCTGCCCACTCTGGCCTTTATTTGTTATGGGTTAGTTCAGTTTTCCAGATGTCTCGAGTCAGCAGCTCTCTGACTCTAGCCAGTATGGCCAAAGGCAGGGTAGGAAAAGCTAAAATAGAGTTACTGGTTTCAGTTGGTCTGCTGGACGTATGACTGAATTTAGATTAACCCATGTATATGTGTACTGCCTTTCTGCCAGTGCTCTCAAGATGGTTCACCTCTTAATGAGTAAGAAACACAACAAGAAAATAAGGATGGAGAGAACAAAGAACAAAGCAGGGTCAATACAGGAAGTTTTCTGCAGTGTTTTATGGCAATGTCACATAAAGGGGGTTCACACACATACATATTCAGGTAATGTGTGAGAGGACTATACTCTCTTGCTTGTCCTGCTTCCAGCATACTCTCCAGCCATACCCCCCCACCCCAACCCCCATGGTCATGTGCAGTGAGAAAGGGCCTGACATGCATAAAGATGTATCCCAACAGAGCTGCTCTAATATGAGAACCTGGACTATCCAGAATCTCAACTCACTGGGAGGCCTTCTGCATGTATATCTCTATATGCCATGGCAGCCTCCTCACTTGACCATGAAATTTGGATCCTGCTAGGGAGATGATCTGCAACACAAGCTCTATGCAAGACGCCAGGGGCTTAATGGAACTGGAGAATGTGGTCCTCAAGGGGAGGAGCCAGGGAACAATGGGTCCCAGCCTAGCCAATGGAAAAAGGCTTGGGAGCTTCCTGCCTGTGAAGAAGACCCACCCACTTCTCAAACTTGTCCCACCCAGCAGCCTTTAAAATGGCAAGAACAAGGTGGGATTTCTTGAGGTGTGGGGAAGAATCCCGTAGAGGAGACCCCCCCCCCACTGCCAGAGCCTGGCCCCTTGTGATCATTAATCTGACCTCAGATGGCAGTTGAGCATGGAATACATGTGGGACTGGAACAAACAAGGTTCTCAGCTGCTGCAAGCCTCAGGGCCAGCATACTTTAAGAACGAAGCCCAATATAACTTTTCCTCAAGGTCAGCTTTCATAATCTCCAGACAGAGTAGAGGGTTCGAATTATGGATATTGAAGTCCAACACATCTAGAAAGCACATGAATGTTTAAGGCTGGGACAGAACCTAAACAGGAAGAATTCCCTCTGGTAGAAAAAATGCTCCACTCTATTGTATCCTAACCCATTTTATAAAGCTGTGCAAACAGTTGACAAGGGCAACCAGGTTGCTGTTAAGAAAACACAGTCTAAGAATTGTACACTACACAAACATTTTTTGTTTGCTTGGACTGTCCCACTTTTTGTTTGTCTCTGAAAAGCAGCATTTACCCAGTGATGCTTAAAGACCAACACTGTTAGCCTGTGTGCACATGCATAAAACCTTATTCTAAGCTTCAGCTTTGTCTAACCAATCAAAGAAACTTACATGGCTACCACAGTCTCTTTTCCCTCATTCCAGTAACAAGATCGCAGTTAGCCGAGCAGAATCTCTGCAAGCAGTAAGGGAGACCTTCAAATCACTTAGCAGAGCAGGCCAGTTGTCAACCATTATGTTTTGTGATTTTTCTCATGACCAAAGAAGATATTTGCTTACATCAGGTTAGAATTTGGCCTGGTTTCCCTCAACGGCTTTGTCCTTTGCTGATCAGACAAGAATGGTGCTTGGCTTTTTTTCCTGACACACCACCCTGCCCATACAAACTGGGGGGAGTCATTCTTGTCTATTTCCAGTGAGTGCTGCTACTCCTGACTCAAGGTTCAAAAGAAGTGCATTGTGGGAGATTACTAACCGGGTCCCAATGATTCAATTCACAACCCTGAGAAATGAGTCTGGGAGAAGTTAGGTTTAGCCCATTCTTCCCACCTTGTTTTTGTTTTAAAGCCCTCCTTCTCCCATCCCCTCAAATTCTTTTTAGCTTCACGTTGGAAAACGTGCAAGCACCATGCAGGCAGATGAGAGAGAAATGAGGCAAGGGGAAAAACCGTCTCCTAGCATCCTTCCCAACTGATTCCCTCTGTCATTGTAGGCCCAACACATCTAGAGGGCATCACAGCAGAGGTCTGACCTTGAAAATGGGAAGCAGGGTTGAAGCAGATTAGTACTTGGATGGGAGATCACTGTTGGAAAATACGGGGTTCCAACCAAGCCTGTCTCACACGAGCACAAAGGGAGGGGCGGCTCCGCTGCGGCCTAGCCTTGCTGCTTTGTGTGGGAGGGGCTTGGAGCCCACCTTTTTTTCCCAGTTTCCCTCATTTTCTTTCTCTTCTCCTCATGGCTCTCCAAGAGGTAAGGATGAATCCTCTCTCCTCCTCAGGGTTTGTGTACTAACATTTCACAACCCCAACAATCGCCAGGAAATCCCAAAGCTGAGGGCTAAGAGTGCAAAATGCCAGAAAAAGGCAGTATCTCGAATGACTTCCATGCTATTGTCAGAGAAACAACTTGGATGCATCCTTACCGTCACCAGGCATCAAGCATGACTCCTGGAAGTCTTACCTTTTTTACATCTAGAGGGCACCATGTTAGGAAGGAAAAAAGAGGAAGAGGCATGCTGGAGGGGAAAGACAGAGTCAGAGATAAGGTGGCCTCTGCCTGCTTTTGGTTTCTGTCATGCCCCTCACTTGCTTCTGTCCCACCTATCCTTGGTGTGAAATGCAGCCCCAAGCAGCTTATTCCTGGAGGAATGTGGCTTCAGCAGAAGGGAGTTTGCTCATTTCTGGATTAAACAAACATAAATAAAGCAAGCCTGAATCCTTTGCAGTGATTTACATCTCCCCAGCACTAGTCTTTGCAGGCCTTTGCCGAAGTGGTTCTCAGCCAGTGCAACGTGGCCGGCGAATGGCCTTCTCCGGCAGTTGGGTGGAACCAGCCGGCATCATCCCCCAGACAGCTGCTCTGCTGTGATCACAGAGGAGTCATAGAGTTAATAGTACAATTAAGCTCAGTAACCCTGAAAGAGGCCTGTGCACTTTAAATTGAAGAGGCTTGGAGCCTCTCGGCTCCGCTTCTATGGCAAGATTGTCTGATTCCAAACAAGCCAGCCATGCAGATAGAAATCAGAAACCATTAATTCCTGGCAAGCCACCAGCTTTGCTGGTCAAGGGGAGTGTTGATTTTCTGCATTGGATGCACCACTGGTGCATGACAGGCAGGATGCTCTGGCCAAGTGCACAACAGACAGGATGCTGTGAAGTAGGCATAAACATCAGAGTTTGTCCAGTGTAAACTATTTGTCTTCTTTTACTTGTTTCTCCCCTCCTCCACCCCCTATTCCAGGCTCATCCAGAATCAGATTACTACTCGAGGAGCCAAGAGTTTAGCTGATGCTCTCCAGGACAATACAGCTCTTAAAGAAATCTGGTAAGGTCAGCCATAGAGAATAACACTCACCAGTGAGCCTTCATGCCCTTGGGGAAAGCCTCACTAGATGGAGTATTTCTCCTCAGAGGGAGAAAGCAAGGGTGGGATGCCTGTGGCCCTCCTGCTTGAGCTGAACTACAACTCCCAGCAACCTTCACCACTGGCACTGTTGCTTAGAGCTACCAGTTGTTTGCATTCAGCAATATTTGGATGATCCCAGGTATAAACTAAAACATGCATGTGGGTGTTTTCCAGTGAAGGATGCTGACAGCTGTTATTTCAGTATCTGGAAGGCTACAGATTTGCTGTCCCCATTAACAAGGAGAGAGAGAAGTTCCCTAGGTGGTGTCTCATAGCCTCATTCTTGGTTAATCTTGCTTAATTAATTCCGTCCCAATTAGCTGCATAAAAATCTGAAGGAAGCAAAAGAGATCCCATTTCATTTCTGTTAAACTGAGCCCACATCACAGTAATTAAAGCAAATTCTTGCTGAAGAGGAAGCTTAATATGTTTCTCAAAACAGAAGAATCAATCAAGCATCATTAGTTTCAGTATTCCCCTGGTATTGGTTAAGCATGGGGAATATATGGAAGACTGTTAGTGTTCTGAAGTGTTTTCACATCCTCCAATCAGGACAGTTGCATCTTGTGCTTCCCAGAAGAAATAGGCAATGGGAAGAGCTAAATTGAGGGGGAAGGAAAGAAAAGGAAAAACACCCAATTTCCCACCTGTAGAGACAGCTTTTAAAAAAACTTTTTTCTCTTTTTCCATTTTCAACAGCTTAACTGGAAACCCAATAACCGAAGAGGAGGCCAAAGTCTTTGAAAAGGAAAAGAGACTCATTTGCTTTTGAGAAAGGTTTTCCAGATTGGATGGTGGTTGTCATGCCAAGACTGTTACAGCTTTGCCAGAAGTCAGAGCAATCCCAGAAGCCTGGGCAAAATAGACATGGAGCTTGCCTCCCTTGTGCTTGAACAATACGATTGGCCCTGGGTGTGCATCTTGTGACTGATACTTGAAAGGAGGACATTGCTTTAGTAATTAACCCCTTCTACCCTAACAACATTTGTGTTAGGTTTCTGGGATGATTCTGGTTTTATGCCAGGGCTCAAGATCCATCAGCAGAAACCTGATTCAGAAGACCTGCCGTTAAAGGACACTGAAACTCTTTGGAGGATCAGGAGTGAGTGAGGCTCACAGCTCATCCACACAACAGCTACTCCTGGCTGCCTTCTCCCTTACTCCAGCCCACCCAAATGCTTGCCCATCCATTTCTTTGTTTTAGCTGTGAGTTAGGGGGGAGGGAGACATTTGGATGCTGCTGCTGTTACAGAATTAGACCCCCTAGTGAATCCCTTTCTATCATCTGCTCACCAATGGAACACAGAAAACTGCCTCCCATAAGTCCTGCCTTTGACGCCAGCCATGATCCCTTTGACTGGTACTAAAGGAAAATGGCAAGATGGATTTCTCAGATATCTAGTGTGGGTATTAGTACCTAAGGTTTAGACCTGATTTTGCATTATTTGGGGAGTTTAAGGAAGAAACATGAGAGCTTGCATTCTCAGCAAAGGTTATGGCAAAGAGTATATTTGTACATGGGTGTCCAGGGTGGTCCATAGATACAGTGACTGGCTTCAAAGTCACAGGTGAAGCCAGACAGTGGAACTCCAGACCCTTTTTAATGTGTGACGCACGTTTTATGCATAAAAAAGGGCAGAGTTTGATCACCTGGTTACACTCATTTTGAAGCCAGTGACCATCACTGCAGACACCCCTGTGTGTGCAACTGTATTTTGCTACTGGTTCACATGGAATATGTGCCCATTCATTCCTATATCCCAGGGAGAAGAGAGGAAATACATCCAACATGCCCATATAAGTTGCCCTTAGTTATATTAAAAGTGGTTTAGTCAAATGACTGGGTTAGTATGTTACAGAATGTTAAAGATATATATCTTCTGCTCTTAAAAAATTCTCTTTCTAGTGTTTTTGGTATCTCTGAGGATGTTTAATAAGGGCTGGATGTCAGCCTCAATATGTTGGAAGTGTAGCATGGTGCGAATGACAGATACTTGGGGGCTGCTCCACTGTGGTCCCTTTTTGGTCCAGTATTAATAAATGCACTAACAGGGTATTGGGAAGGGAAATAAAAAGTTGAACAATATATCAGTAATTTGGAATTTAACAGCATATGAAGTAACTCTGCATTTATTGGACATGGACTGTAGCTGAAAAAAATGTTTGATGGACATAATCTCTTATACCTGATGTTAAGCTTGGGCTGATGAAATATATTCACTCTCCAGCTATTAACTTGTTTCATATCATGTGGAAAAAAGCCACCAATATGTAGTCAAGATATAATTTGTTGAATAACAGAGTTATTTTCTTATTAAAGTATTTTCTTTCTTTTCTGTTTCTCTTGATTTATATTCTAGTTATGCAGTAGGTTCTTTTTTTCTTTGTTTCATATACAGTGGGGCAAAAAAGTATTTAGTCAGCCACCAATTGTGCAAGTTCTCCCACTTAAAAAGATGAGAGAGGCCCCAGACATCTTGCTTGTTTGTAGGTGACCAAATACTTATTTTCCACCATGATTTGCAAATAAATTCTTTAAAAATCAGACAATGTGATTTTCTGGATTTTTTTTCTCATTTTGTCTCTCATAGCCAGACATCTTGCTTGTTTGTAGGTGACCAAATACTTATTTTCCACCATGATTTGCAAATAAATTCTTTAAAAATCAGACAATGTGATTTTCTGGATTTTTTTTCTCATTTTGTCTCTCATAGCCAGACATCTTGCTTGTTTGTAGGTGACCAAATACTTATTTTCCACCATGATTTGCAAATAAATTCTTTAAAAATCAGACAATGTGATTTTCTGGATTTTTTTTCTCATTTTGTCTCTCATAGCCAGACATCTTGCTTGTTTGTAGGTGACCAAATACTTATTTTCCACCATGATTTGCAAATAAATTCTTTAAAAATCAGACAATGTGATTTTCTGGATTTTTTTTCTCATTTTGTCTCTCATAGCCAGACATCTTGCTTGTTTGTAGGTGACCAAATACTTATTTTCCACCATGATTTGCAAATAAATTCTTTAAAAATCAGACAATGTGATTTTCTGGATTTTTTTTCTCATTTTGTCTCTCATAGCCAGACATCTTGCTTGTTTGTAGGTGACCAAATACTTATTTTCCACCATGATTTGCAAATAAATTCTTTAAAAATCAGACAATGTGATTTTCTGGATTTTTTTTCTCATTTTGTCTCTCATAGCCAGACATCTTGCTTGTTTGTAGGTGACCAAATACTTATTTTCCACCATGATTTGCAAATAAATTCTTTAAAAATCAGACAATGTGATTTTCTGGATTTTTTTTCTCATTTTGTCTCTCATAGCCAGACATCTTGCTTGTTTGTAGGTGACCAAATACTTATTTTCCACCATGATTTGCAAATAAATTCTTTAAAAATCAGACAATGTGATTTTCTGGATTTTTTTTCTCATTTTGTCTCTCATAGCATTTTGTCTCTCATAGTTGAGGTATACCTATGAAGGCCTCTCTCATCTTTTTAAGTGGGAGAACTTGCACAATTGGTGGCTGACTAAATACTTTTTTGCCCCACCGTATGCAATAAAATTTTTAAAAATGTAAAAGTGGTTTAATTAGCTCCGTTGGTTACAAGTCAAAGCAAAAGGATTTAGGCTGTGGATGAGTGCATGCTGTTAGTGTTCTTGTTCCTATTTTTACCAAGAGTAAACAAGCATCCTGTGGGATTCAGCTTGCAATCTCAAGATAAACACACACATTGAATTACTTGTTCTTTTGTACATTTGTTTGTTATGTCACCTTCAAAATGTGATTCCCCCCTCCCCTACGGCACCATATATTATATAATGAAATCAAAGCTGTCTTGTGAGGAATTACAGAGATGGTGACCCATCATATCTGAGGATTGCTAGAATGTGGAAAACAGGTTTAAAACAATATTTAAAATAATGTGGATGATGATCAGAAAACAACATAATTAGAACATTCAATTCCATTTTGTCAACCTGATTTAAAAAACAGCCACTAATATACCAGTGTAATCTATTCTAAAAAAACATTGAGAAATACAACAGTGGCAAGGTCCTCTAAAAGGCAGCTGGAAGCTAGTTGATCTTACTGCTCCATCAGGAATTTTATAAATGAGGATCATCACTGAAAAAATGCTGCATCAAGTTTGTGTTAAACATATGCAATCATTTAACTAATTACAACCAGATTATTAGGGGCAAAAGTGTTAAGGAATGAAAAAGCTATGCCCTGATGGTTCTTTCTGCTACCTTTCTCTTTGGCCTCTTTTGGACTAATGGTAAGACGCATATCCATTACAGATAGTGGGGCTAGGGTTAATAAAAGCTAGCTTTTCCCAATCTAGGGCTTTTTGCATCTCCTGGCTTGGGGTGAAATACCTGTTCAACATTGCAGGGTAGCATCAAACTAGGAGAAATGCACAACAGCTAGCTACTGGCACAGTGATGGCCGAAATGGCACATATACACACACACACAGATCTGGACCTGGTTGCCAACTTGGTGATGGAGACTTCCCATCTGTTGGTACTGGGTGATTTCATTCTCAGGTATGGGTCTAATAGAGTTAATGGACTCCATGACAACCATAGGCTTGCCCAAGTTATCTGGGCTCTGACTCATGTAGACAGTTACGTATTAGACCTGGGTTTTGCCTCCAAGTAGTTGCTCTGTCATCTGGATGTGGGGAATATTAAATCTGCTCTTTGTTGTGAACAGATTACTTCCTGATCCAGATGCAATTGGCTGCCACCCATTTCCTCAACAGGGCTGGGAGCATTCAGATGGTCTGCCCCTTATGGATCCATCTGATTTCTGGCAGGCACTTGGAGGTGAGTTGATTGAGGGCCTGGTGTGCTGCTGGTGGGAAGCCCTTAATGAAGTTGCTATTGGCCAATCCCAGTTGGCTCATTGGTTCTCCAAAGACCTTGGGGAGATGAAGTGGCAGAAGGAATATCTGGAGTGCAGATGGACGACAATGAAAACTGACTTTGACTGAGCATGAGTGCGTGGTCCTTAGCAATAAGAGAGGTGAAACTTAATTATTTCTCCTTTCTTCTGGTGGTTGTCCAGCAGCTCTTTTCCAGGTGGCCAATTTCCTTTTGGGTCAGGGCCATCCTATTGATCTTCCATCTGGCTACTGTGACCAGTTTGTTCCACGCTTTGCAGGCAGCATTGCTCAAGTTTGCTCTAGTGTGGACTCCACTTGAACTTCCAGTGGCATGCTGATGCCCCGCTCCAAGTAGCAGGGTCTGGACAAAATGAAACTAACTTGAAATATTTAATGAAGTTTAATTATGTGTAAGCAACACAATTACTCTCCACACACTTAAGAGTTTCCTCCTCCTGTGACAAATTCAGTAGGAACTTTTAGGGATGCTCTGGGGATCCCCTGGGGATTTAGGGCCACAGTTTGTGCACTCCAACATAAGCCATGGTGTATAGAATGGCTAATTTCCACACAACTCCTTAAACTAAACCACATCATGGCAAGGGGTGATATGTAAGTTCAGCCATTCTCTCCCCTTCCCCCTACCATCTCAGGGGGAAAAAATCCAAGTTGTAAAACAGCTCTTTGTTCCTGGAATCACTAAGTCAAAGGGGTCATTTTGATGGCCAAGTGCAGCTACAGAGTGAATAATTAAGAAATCCAGCTCCATCTCACTAAGTTTCTTAGAAAACACATTTTGAACTGCCAGGTATTTTGGCAAAACATGAGGCAATAGACTCTTTCCAATGACTTTGGCAGGTCACGATGGGGCATTGTTCAGCAGAACTCAGGTCCCTGAAAATAAAAATAGGCTTGTGTTCCAAGTTAAAAGAGACCAATCTATTACAGAAGTCCTGTAACATGCTAAATATAACTCCTGTGGAGGCAAACAGTTTTCATTGGGTGCCTTTTCCATCACTCCATTAATTAATTTGTTTTTTAAGAACTGTAGGAAGCAGCTGATCAATTTACTGGATTTGTAGCAGGGTTACAAATCAGATCAGATCAGGATAGCCAGCATCCTTTCAAATAACTTGCCTGCCAGATTGGTTGAAATCTCAGCAAAGCCACATGCACATATAAGTCAAACACTTGAGCAAAGCATATAGCTTTGAAGCAGTGTAATGGGATACTTCCTTGGGGAGGAGCCAATTTTACTCTTAGCTTACAGTCTACTTTGGATAAAAACATGATGAATAGCCACCAGCTTAAATGGCTATGGAAAAGAGATGGGGCAACCCAGTTCCCTTTCTCAGCTAAGCAGGGTCAGGCATGATTAGTGTTTGGTTAGAGCAGTGTTTCCCAACCTTGTCAATTTTAACATGTGTGTACTTCACGCTGGCTGGGGAATTCTGGGAGTTGAAGTCCACACATCTTAAAGTTGACAAGGTTGGGAAACACTGGGTTAGAGTAACAGAGAAATTCCAGGACTGTAGGCTGGAAAGTTGAAAAATATCCTGGGAGAAGGCAAGGGCAAACAAGTTCTTCACTGTTGCCAGGAAAACATCACAGCATTATCCATTAAATCATCAGGAGCTGTCAAGCTCAAGAAAGATACAATGCCAACATGCTAATGGGGTGGAGCGGGAGAAAGCAGAAATGCATTACAGTGCTTTAATGCTTTTGGAAAAAGATGCATCCCCTTAAATGGTCACGCATCCAACGATGACAACTTGCCATGAGAGGTGAGAAATACCACTCCAAAACCTCTTAGCTGACCAGAGAAAAAAGTGACTCAGCAAACATAGGCACAAGCTATTTCTTATGGGATGATCTTTTCCCACTTGCAAACTACCATTTGGAAAAGGTAATTTGTACTGAAATCAAACAAATGGGAAAAAAGGCTTAACACTCTTAACTACCAGCTAAGCTTTGCCACTCAGTGGGTATCCCAAACCCAAAGGCGTGTCCATGGGGGAGGGGGGGTGTCAAAAAAAAGTCAAGATAGCAGCTGTAATCATGCAATTACATGTAAAAAAGGATTGTAATTACAGCTGCCATTTTGATTTTTTTGACACCCTCCCCATGGATGCTGCTGCACATGGTGATTTCACACAATGTTCTGAAATTGAAGGGGCAGCTGAGGGTTGGGGTAAAAATTTAAAGGGAAAACAACTGGCTCAAACTCACCTTTCAGCCACCCAGATGGCTTGAACTAAGACCTGGACTGAGATCTTTCTCAATATCTTAAATGAATCAGCCTTTTCTTTTCACTAATGCAAATCAGAAGCATTTTCAAAGAGCAAAGAGGCTTTCTTGGGAACTACTGCAATTTAGGATGTGATCTTCTCTGCAAAG